GGCTGCACCTTCACGACATTGATCCAGGAGACGCAAGTGATGCGCGACGAAGTGCTGCTGGTGCGTCTGCGGCCATTGCTTGGGCGTGCCGAGTCACGCCCCAGCATGCAGAAGTTCCTGGACGAAAATCTGCAGCAGTCCGAAGCAGCCATCAGACAGCAATTGCAGCGCGAGGGGCTTCCAGCCCTTCTGTGGAGCCGACCTCAACCGCAAAATCCCCTGCTGAAGCTATTCGGCTGACAAGATGTGCTGCCACCTCCGCAGCGGGCTGGCGGGCTGCAGCAAGCTTCATTCCACCCTCCTGCAGGCTTTTGGGCTGAAGGTGATGGGCTCCACCTCCACAGCGCTGGCGAAGCGGTGATGGACGGTGTGATCCCGATGCTCCTGCGGATTGGAGTGCCGTGGACTGGTCGCAAACACATTGCCTAGCATCCTAGTCTCCTACATCTACATACATCTACCTTCCTTCGGACATGAGCAGCTGGACGATTCACACGGTTTCCTTGCTGAAGTCTTTTGTCGACTACGTTACTGGCAGTACACACGGACAAAAGCTGCTCGCAGAGTAGTCCTTCAATCCCGTCCCGGCGAAGAGCGAACGCCTGGCTCTGGAGCTCCAAGGTCGCGAACCTTCTGCCTGCTGCCTGTGCGGACTTGTTCTCCTGCGAGCGCACTCTGCGATGGGCAGGGCTTGAACGTGATCAGCGTGAAGCGGGACACTTGGTCACTGTGGAAGGCCCATGAGCTGGAGGTGGCCAACCAAGCCTCGGAGGCGCGAGCGCTTGCGCCGAAAACTCGCCTGGATGGCTTTCTGGATGTGGTCCCGTTGCGGTGTTGGAAACATTCTCATGACGAACTGGTCAGCGTAGATGGGCGCCAGTGGGTCAAAACAAGGTGCAGCGCGATTCCATCGGCGTTGCAGAGTCCAACCGTAAGAACACTTGTTTAGTTTTTTACGCAGCCTTGCAGTAAGTTAAGGTCTGTTGGGCGCGGCAGTGCTGAAAACATTCCTTAGCCTTAACCCCACAACTATGGCGCATCAGAGCATCAACAGGCTTAGGGCTTACGGATCTTTGGGTTCAGGGAATCCTCGTCCCATTCATTCTGGAACCGGGGGGGGGGGGCAGCTGTGAACCGGTCTTGCACATGATTTGCCGCGACGATGCAGGAATTCCTCACTCAAGGAAAATTCGATATTCCAAGGTGTCCGGAAGCCTGGCAATGTCGTTCGCGAAGGCGCCGCGCTTCCGCGAAGGACACGCTGCCACGCCAGGCCCTGGACAGTACCAGGCTAAATTCAGTAGCATGTCAGGGCCGAAATACACGTTCGGGAAGCCGAAGAGCACACGAAGGGCGACAGAGCTGCCCAAGTTGCACCAAGCCCAGCTGAAGCTGGTGGCGGAGCTTGGCCGCGGTGGGCTTGCCACCGTACACAGAGCACGCTTCTGCGGCAAAGCTGTTGCTGTGAAGCTTTACCGTTGTCAGCCCGGGCTGGGAAACCCTGAGCAAGACCGCGAAGGCCTTCACAAAGAGGCTTTGCTCCTCGCAGGCCTCAGCCATACAAACATTGTACGTGCACTCTTCTTGGTGACGGACAGGGGCGTAGTCACGGGCTTTGGCCTGGAGCTCCTGGGCCAGTCCCTGCAAGCTGCCGCGCGCAACGGCCAGCTGACCGCTCAGCGCCTGGCAAGTGCCGTGGCGCCCACCTGCGAGGCCCTGGCATACCTGCACCAGCGGCCGATCGCACATTTGGATGTGAAACCGGCCAACATATGCTTCACGGCCCAGCTAAGTGTGAAGCTGGTCGACATGGATGCCGCCATGACCATGGATCATCCAGATGAGCTGACACGGCGAATGCCAGGGAACTTGGCAGACTTGTCTCCGGAGATTGTCAACAAGATGCCATACAATCCCCTGAAAGAGGACTGTTGGCAAGCAGGCTGCACCTTCACGACATTGATCCAGGAGACGCAAGTGATGCGCGACGAAGTGCTGCTGGTGCGTCTGCGGCCATTGCTTGGGCGTGCCGAGTCACGCCCCAGCATGCAGAAGTTCCTGGACGAAAATCTGCAGCAGTCCGAAGCAGCCATCAGACAGCAATTGCAGCGCGAGGGGCTTCCAGCCCTTCTGTGGAGCCGACCTCAACCGCAAAATCCCCTGCTGAAGCTATTCGGCTGACAAGATGTGCTGCCACCTCCGCAGCGGGCTGGCGGGCTGCAGCAAGCTTCATTCCACCCTCCTGCAGGCTTTTGGGCTGAAGGTGATGGGCTCCACCTCCACAGCGCTGGCGAAGCGGTGATGGACGGTGTGATCCCGATGCTCCGCGGATTGGAGTGCCGTGGACTGGTCGCAAACACATTGCCTAGCATCCTAGTCTCCTACATCTACATACATCTACCTTCCTTCGGACATGAGCAGCTGGACGATTCACACGGTTTCCTTGCTGAAGTCTTTTGTCGACTACGTTACTGGCAGTACACACGGACAAAAGCTGCTCGCAGAGTAGTCCTTCAATCCCGTCCCGGCGAAGAGCGAACGCCTGGCTCTGGAGCTCCAAGGTCGCGAACCTTCTGCCTGCTGCCTGTGCGGACTTGTTCTCCTGCGAGCGCACTCTGCGATGGGCAGGGCTTGAACGTGATCAGCGTGAAGCGGGACACTTGGTCACTGTGGAAGGCCCATGAGCTGGAGGTGGCCAACCAAGCCTCGGAGGCGCGAGCGCTTGCGCCGAAAACTCGCCTGGATGGCTTTCTGGATGTGGTCCCGTTGCGGTGTTGGAAACATTCTCATGACGAACTGGTCAGCGTAGATGGGCGCCAGTGGGTCAAAACAAGGTGCAGCGCGATTCCATCGGCGTTGCAGAGTCCAACCGTAAGAACACTTGTTTAGTTTTTTACGCAGCCTTGCAGTAAGTTAAGGTCTGTTGGGCGCGGCAGTGCTGAAAACATTCCTTAGCCTTAACCCCACAACTATGGCGCATCAGAGCATCAACAGGCTTAGGGCTTACGGATCTTTGGGTTCAGGGAATCCTCGTCCCATTCATTCTGGAACCGGGGGGGGGGGGCAGCTGTGAACCGGTCTTGCACATGATTTGCCGCGACGATGCAGGAATTCCTCACTCAAGGAAAATTCGATATTCCAAGGTGTCCGGAAGCCTGGCAATGTCGTTCGCGAAGGCGCCGCGCTTCCGCGAAGGACACGCTGCCACACCAGGCCCTGGACAGTACCAGGCTAAATTCAGTAGCCTGTCAGGGCCGAAATACACGTTCGGGAAGCCGAAGAGCACACGAAGGGCGACAGAGCTGCCCAAGTTGCACCAAGCCCAGCTGAAGCTGGTGGCGGAGCTTGGCCGCGGTGGGCTTGCCACCGTACACAGAGCACGCTTCTGCGGCAAAGCTGTTGCTGTGAAGCTTTACCGTTGTCAGCCCGGGCTGGGAAACCCTGAGCAAGACCGCGAAGGCCTTCACAAAGAGGCTTTGCTCCTCGCAGGCCTCAGCCATACAAACATTGTACGTGCACTCTTCTTGGTGACGGACAGGGGCGTAGTCACGGGCTTTGGCCTGGAGCTCCTGGGCCAGTCCCTGCAAGCTGCCGCGCGCAACGGCCAGCTGACCGCTCAGCGCCTGGCAAGTGCCGTGGCGCCCACCTGCGAGGCCCTGGCGTACCTGCACCAGCGGCCGATCGCACATTTGGATGTGAAACCGGCCAACATATGCTTCACGGCCCAGCTAAGTGTGAAGCTGGTCGACATGGATGCCGCCATGACCATGGATCATCCAGATGAGCTGACACGGCGACTGCCAGGGAACTTGGCAGACTTGTCTCCGGAGATTGTCAACAAGATGCCATACAATCCCCTGAAAGAGGACTGTTGGCAAGCAGGCTGCACCTTCACGACATTGATCCAGGAGACGCAAGTGATGCGCGACGAAGTGCTGCTGGTGCGTCTGCGGCCATTGCTTGGGCGTGCCGAGTCACGCCCCAGCATGCAGAAGTTCCTGGACGAAAATCTGCAGCAGTCCGAAGCAGCCATCAGACAGCAATTGCAGCGCGAGGGGCTTCCAGCCCTTCTGTGGAGCCGACCTCAACCGCAAAATCCCCTGCTGAAGCTATTCGGCTGACAAGATGTGCTGCCACCTCCGCAGCGGGCTGGCGGGCTGCAGCAAGCTTCATTCCACCCTCCTGCAGGCTTTTGGGCTGAAGGTGATGGGCTCCACCTCCACAGCGCTGGCGAAGCGGTGATGGACGGTGTGATCCCGATGCTCTTGCGGATTGGAGTGCCGTGGACTGGTCGCAAACACATTGCCTAGCATCCTAGTCTCCTACATCTACATACATCTACCTTCCTTCGGACATGAGCAGCTGGACGATTCACACGGTTTCCTTGCTGAAGTCTTTTGTCGACTACGTTACTGGCAGTACACACGGACAAAAGCTGCTCGCAGAGTAGTCCTTCAATCCCGTCCCGGCGAAGAGCGAACGCCTGGCTCTGGAGCTCCAAGGTCGCGAACCTTCTGCCTGCTGCCTGTGCGGACTTGTTCTCCTGCGAGCGCACTCTGCGATGGGCAGGGCTTGAACGTGATCAGCGTGAAGCGGGACACTTGGTCACTGTGGAAGGCCCATGAGCTGGAGGTGGCCAACCAAGCCTCGGAGGCGCGAGCGCTTGCGCCGAAAACTCACCTGGATGGCTTGATTCCATCGGCGTTGGAGAGTCCAACCGTAAGAACACTTGTTGCTTTTTCCGCAGCCGATTGCAACATGGTTTCCCAATCAAAGGTTGAGATAATTGCTTACGGTTTCCCAATCAAAGGTTGAGATAATTGCTTACTTTTTTATTCGGTTACCATTCTTGTTTGTTCGATCATTTTAGGATGATTATTCTAATTTATTCTACTATTTCGGATTCATAAGAATGACTCCTTCAGTCCCAGACCCTGAGCCCTTGAACCCCTGGACCCCAAATCCAGAACCCTGAGCCCTTGAACCTTGGCCCATGGCAGGTGCGAGAGCGGCCGCCTGGCGCCCCTTGCCCCGAAGCAGGAGGCCTTCGGCCTCGTGGACGAGGCACCTGGGGATGCAGGGGTTCCAGGCGTCCCTGGGGGTTGAGGTTGAAAGGTTGCAGGATTTGGAGGGTTTTTGAACTACAAGGCCCTAGAAAATCCCACCTCGGAGATCAGTGGAGTTTGGGGCACGAAGAGGGTCCTTGTGTGGTTTTGGCAGGGGTTATTGGAGGTCTCAAACCGACCGAAACCTCCGGAAGACCTGAGAACTGCCCCTAGCTTTTGATTTTGTTGAAATTCAGTGTTTCGGATTCACGGCGCTTTCAAGCCCTTGTTCTTCAAGCCCCAAGCCAACCCGGCTCAAGGCTGGGAAGCCTCTCTTCACCCTCTGCGAGCACCGCGTCAGCGAGGTCGACCTCTTCGCTGCGGAGAGGCTTGAGCCCAGGCGGTGGCCTCTGCTTTGTTCTCGTTGGGGGCTTCCAATGGGTTTAGGGCAGAGTAAGCTTACCTAAGTCAGCAACCCAAAATTTCGGGAAGCTTGTGCCTCTACACTAGAGAACCGTAAGGCCCAACAGCCCCCAAAAGTTCCGAAGCCCATCTTGAAGCCCCCGAAGCCCCCGAAGATGCGAAGCCCCCGAAGCCCCCGAAGCCGAAGCCCCCGAAGCCCTGAATGTGCGCTTGCGCCCAGTGCTGCAGCGGATCTTGATGCTTTTGGTGCGGTCCTCGGGCAGGGCTTATGCAGCCCTAAACCCCAAACCCTGAACCCTATAAGCCCTAAACCGCTATTTAGGTTTTTGGATTTGGGGACCCTGGTTCCTTGTTATATGACATCCCTTTAATTGCAGGGGCAACCCAAAAGAGACTATGTGGCCACTTGTTGGGGCTTCAGGATTTAGGGCCCCCGGGGTACCCCCCAAACCCTAAACACCAAAAACCCTAAACTCTCAAACCTAAACTCTAAACCTAGCAGTTTAATATACTTCTAATTCTTGGAATAAAGAGGCAAAAGACCCCTGCAAATGTACTACTTTTATTGTGTCTTTTTGCATACAGTATCTTATTGTTAATTACACGGTAAAACGCCCCTTAAACTTTCTGTATAATTTGGGGCATTTCAAGCTGTTATTGCTATTATCTTAATACTTTAATACTACTACCGCCGTGAGGAACGCTCTCTTGACCACCTAAAACAGTATTAAGATGTATTGTGTCTGTGGCTTGGTTGCGTTCTTCATTGGCGGCGAATAATGCTACTACAATGAAGTGAAACGAAGCGTGAATACAAAAGTTCGCTCAGATGTTATCTTCATGCCAGCCTAAAATATAGTGAAGAGAGCACGAAAAGCAGAGTTGCAAGGACAGAAGTGTACACGTGAAGTATTATTATGCGAACGAAACCAGCGTGTGAATTACAAGCGCGTAAAATAAGTTTGGAGGCCCGGACTTGGCGCGCTTTCCCGAGGCAAGGAGGGTGGAACCTGAAACCCTGGAGTTGAGGGCTTAGGGTTTGGGGTTTAGGGCTTAGGGTTTCGGGTTTAGGGTGTGAGACTGTTCGGGTTTCGGGTTGTTGAGGGTTTTAGGGTAGTTTTAGGTTGACAAGGGTTCTAGGGCTCAGGGAGTATACAAGGCCGTTGGTTCGGAACCTAAAGCCCCTGGCCCTCACCCTGAACGGGGGAGGCAAAATGACGGGCCCTCTTTTGAGTCCCATGATAAATTTCTTCCTCATACTTCAGGGAACCAGGAACTTCGATCAACCCTCATGATAGAAGACCTCTTGTCGGGTTCATGATGATTCTGAATCTGATGATCACGAAGGATTGTTATGGTATTTATTCTTCTTGTTATGATATTTATATTTATATTATTATTATTATTATTGCTATTATTAGTGAACTTGTTTCACCTATAGGAGTTGCAGCCCCTATGCTCGCGTGATCTGCTGAGGCCGAAAGATAAGTTTCTGCACATCAAAGCACCTTGCAAGGGGAAATTCTGCTCTGGGGACCTTGGAAACATCCAGAGGGGTTGACGAACTACCCGAAGCTCTCCGCGCAGGCAGCGACCCTCCCAAAGGCCTTGGAGGCTCGTCTTCCGTTTCGGGCCACTGCCTGTGGCGTTCAGGGGATGGGGGAGATGTAGGGAACAAGCAATTCAGGCTTGAGGGCTTGCGGTTTTCCAGAAGCGATCAAGTGTATGCAGGGCTCGTCTGTTTGGAGTGCGGAGACGTTTGGGTCGGGGGCTCAGGGCTGAAGACAAGCAGCCGAATTTGCTGCGATGGAATCATTCCGAGTATCAGCATCATGTTTATCGTTGAGGGTTCAGGGTTCAGCGAGCCGCTGCCCTGACCTTGGCAGGTGCTGCTGCTTCCAGGGGAGCTGGTGGTGGTGAGCCCTGGCTGGTGGGCATGCGGCCTAGCACGCGGCAAGCATGGCGGAGCTTTTGAAACCTCCACTGCTGCCACGGACAGCCTTGTTATTTGTGATCTTGACCATCCAACTGTCGAAGCCCTTTCGGTGAAGCATACAGCCAGAAGTGTGCCAAACATCTTACAGCAGCCGCTGCTGTTATATGTTGTTATCACCAGACTGGTCACCAGCTTGGAATTAAGGTACAGTGCTACTGTGATGAGGCGGGCAATGCTGGCATGTGTCGCATGAGGGTGTATGGTTACACGTGAGGTCCTTTGCGTTCAGGGAAGGGGAGCTGCCATGTTCATGTCTGTATCAGGACTGTTGCAGCAACTACAGCTCGAGGAATTTGGCGGGGCAGCACAACCGTAAGGTCTCTGTTGTAGTTTCTTCCTCACTGCTTCATCATCGTCCCCCCACCATGGGGCTCGTGTGGTATCTTTGATGGCTTCTTTGCCCAGCACGTGTACATGTTTCAATAGCACTGTAAACATACTCTGATCAGAAGCGGTATGAAGATATAACATCGAACCCCATAGCAGCAGAACCAAGCCATAAAAATAGGTTATTCCACTTGTAGTTCTATGGGTTCAGGAGTTGGTTCACTCCTCACCTCCCCGTGCCCTTGACCCAACTGAACCCCTTCAACCCTAAACCAGACCCTAAAGCCCAAGTCGGCAGCACACCCTCAACAAAACCGGGCTAAACCCTCAACTCCCAGAATCTCGGCATCTAGCCTCACTCCTGTAGGTGCAGTCGAGACATCTGTCATAGTCGCTCTTTCCCGACCTTTGGGGCCTTAAGGGTTTTGTGGTCTACAGCGCTGGGTAGAACTTTTCGGCGTTCAGGGGTTGTGTATGGGGTTCTGCGGCTCCTCGCTACCGACCTGACACGTACCCTACTGAACCCTTGATCCTGTTCAAGGCATGCTGGGCCGTGCACTCCCAGTACGCCCGGGGACCAGGCGCACGTTTCATAACCCTAAACCCCGAACCCCAAACCCTAAACATCCCTAAAACCGGGCTAAACCCCTAAACCCCAATTAAATCCGAAGCCCTAAACCCTCAACCCTAACCCCTCGGATTCCAGTTCCACAAGGGTTCAGGGATCCAAACTGAAGGGGAGGCCCGAATGTCAGGACTCGAGAGGCTGCTCGACTCGATGCTGAGCTTCGCGGCTGTGCCCAAGGAGGACATCGCGGGTTCTTGGGGCTGCTAGGGGAGGTTTGGGGGTCTTTTAAGGGTTAAGGGTTTAGGGTTTAGGGTTCAGGGTTTGGGGTTTGGGGGTTTGGGGTTTGGGGTTTAGTGTTTAGGGGTCTTTCGGGGGCGTTCGAGGTTTGTGGCACTCTAGGGCGCGTAGAGGGCCTTGGATCCCTCGACTCGGAGGCTTGGTGGCTGAGAGTTTTGGATTGCATCGACGCCGGCGCGCTTTCTCAGTGGGTTCGGTGGAACCTTCACATTCCCCTCAAACCTGAAGTTTCAAGGCTTGGTTTCGGCTTGGGGCTGAGACCCGGGACAACACATGGGACCACATCCGTGGCAGCGTGCGTCGGAGCTCTAGGCTCTAAGCTCTCGCCCAAGCCCTCGCTGAGGAGATCTTTGGCTTCGATGCGCTGCCTCCCGCGGAGAAGGCCGGTACCCCAAACCCCCCTTCCGGGATCCCAAAGCGCTGAGGCAAGAGAGCTTTCATGATGCTGTGACCTGTTTTCTAGGGGTGTGCCTCGAACCCGGCAAGCGCACTTGTCGCGACGGTGTCCATCTTGAGCGAGAAGACGAAACATTGGGCGCGAAATCAACACTCTGCCAGCTTTGAAACCTTTTACACTTTACACTCTACAACGCTCGTTTTGACAACCCATGCCTGTTTCTCCCCCAGTAGCTGCGCGAACCGAACAGCCGTCGTGCAAAGCCAACTACAAGCCCTCACATGCACCCTCGCATCAACTCCATAATGTCTAAGATCAACAGGAACCAGACTGAGCAGCTAAATTCTTCCTTACAGCTCTCTCAACTGCCTATAAAGGTGCTTTCTGTGTCACAGCCCTTACTTCGAGGTTTAGGGTTTAGGTTTTGGGGTTTAGGGTTTAGGGCTTGATGAAGGCAGTTGCATCTTTGCAGCGGGGAAGGGTCGCGGGAATTCGACACGTGGCTTGGGTGGAAAGGACCTTGTGCTCGAAGCAAAGGCAGGCAACTTGAAGTTTACTATAGGGGTCGGAATAATTACTAACAAATTATTCCCTTAGGGTCCCTTTGTAATTATACTACAATAACCCCCCTCCCCCCCCAAAACCCTGTTCTAATTATTAAGGCCCCTACGTCACCCTCCCGTGCCTCGAAGGCGGACGTGGCCCTGGCGGCGGTGCTCGAGCAAAGCGGGAGAGGGCCCGGCCGGACCCTGCCGCAGCCTCGAAAGCCGGTTTCCCGTGGACCCCTTGCACTCAGCCAAGGCAACCACACCAAAAAAAGAAGAATCACTGCCTACGGACCCCGCATGTTGCTCGAACCCCCACTCAGGACCCTGAATTGCAAGTGGGGAGTTGCTAGAGTGAGCTAAAGGGGGAATCCATTGGGCTTGGCTCAGAGCCAAGGCTGGCGAGGCTGAGGAGCCTGGACGCAGCGCAGGGGGTGCAGGGCCCAGGCTTCCAACAGATCCCCTTGTTTGTCTTTTGTTTTTTCGGGGATTACGGGATTACCTCTTTGTGCAACGTTATTCTTGTGCTTTTGGTGTTCCTGTGTGTGCGCGTTTAACCCCTGATTGTTTCCTGGAGATTGATGTTCGGTTGGGGGTTCGGGTTGGCACTAAAAGAACTCAAAAAGCAAGCCGAAAAGATAACGCAGGGTTTCGGTTTCGGTTTAAGGCAGGGCTTGGGGTTTTGTGGTGGCTGAGGGTTTTTGATCTTAGGGCTGAGGGACTTGGGGGCGGTGTTGCAGCAGATGGGGGCCTAGCCAGTACCGGCTAAACGACGAAGAGCACCCTAAGTCCTGAACACCCCCAAGATCCGACCTCCCAGACTCGGAAGCCTTGACGAGGTCGAGAAGAAGGCTCCTGTTCCCTCGGCCGGCGGCGGCTGTGGCGTCTGCGGCCGCCCGGCCACCACGAGGTGGGCCGAGGTTGAGGATATGAGGTTGAGGCTGAGCCAAAGCCCCCACACCCCACGTGAGGCAAAGCTGAAAGTTGCCCAGGCGTCATGACAATGCCCTGCACCCTGCACCCCTGAACTTTGAACATGCACGCGTGGGAGGTGTGGCCGATGCCGCAAACCCGGCATGGACTTTTTCAGCCTTCGATGTGCCCCTCACATGCTGGGGAGCAATGCTTTGTGATTCTCGCACTGCTGAGTCGCTGTTGCTCTTTCGTGCCCTGAGTGTCTTTGACCAGAAGTCTTTGGCGCCACAGCATCCCGCAGCGTCCACCTGCATCGAAGCTGCGTGCTGCAAGAAAGTGACGTGCCACGCGCTCCTTGCTCGGAAGTCCTCCCTAATCCCTTAGCCCCAACCTCGCAACCCTAAACCCTAAATCGCAAGCTGACTTCAGCCTGCCTCTGCCAGATGCACTTCTGCTCTGCGGCAGCGAATGTCGAGTCCTTGGGGCGAAGATCCGAAACAAGATTCTCGGGGACTCTTTCTGATCTTCCTTGCAAACGGTACTGGCCGAGGAACCGGGCCTGAACCCCGAAAAGTCATCCCACACCCGCACCAGTAGTTTAGCAGAGTTTAGCCCTTCTTTATCTCACGGTCTTGAAGCTTCGGGTTCAGGGCTTGAGGTGTTTCGGCACAAGTGTGTGGATTGTGCTACCAGTAGTGAGTTGGGGCTCGGTGTGCAATCTATTCTCTAAAAACATGCTACTGTGATGTGCGCATCGAGGTCAGAGACGCTCGTGGCCAGAACATCGCAAGGTATGCGTGGCACCGCGGAAGAAAAATTCGCAGATGCACGCAGTCTTTGCTCCCCCTGGCTTGACCCGAGGTGCTTTCACGTTCACTTCACGCTCGGCCGTTTCGTTCATGCGTCTGCATGTTGCTCCGCTTTGATGTGCTCTCCGCAAGTCGCCCAGAAGTTGTTCCATCCTGAGATGCCTTCGAGTCTTTGTGCACAGGCGATGATTCAGACCGCCCGACGGAAGGCGAGTCAGCTGGAGGCCCTCCCATAAACCTAGTGGCCCTGGTTGAACCATCCTACTACTCCTAAGGTTTCAGGGGTCAGGGCTTAGATGCAGGAATGCTCGGGGCTTCAGGTTTCTGGGGTTTCGGGGGCGCCGAGCTACCTCTTGGTTGCGCCAGGGACGGCTGGCCTTGGCGGAGCACTCAGTTCTTGGACAAACTTCGAACCCCCCATAAATATAGCGGTCAGGGCTCACCACTGTGTGTAACCCCCCCAAAACCATTGAGTTTGTGGCCATCATTACCCTTCCCCCAAGCTTTGAGTCTGAAGGGTTGCTCGGTGTTGCAAATGTTTGCGAAATGCAGCGGAGATACTCTGCATCTTGCAGAGATCGGCGTCGTTTGGCTCAGAGATTGAGACTGCCTTCAGAAATCGATTGCCCCATAGCCTGTCCATTCACGATGTGGCACTGCAGTGTTGCCAAGGTCCAAGGTGAACGAGATCGTCTCCAGGCACTTGGGAAGTTTCCCTGCCGTAGCATCATTCGTAGTGCTAGCCTTTCTGAAGTTCCACTTTCATGCAGGGATGCGAGGGCTCCTTGGAAATCAGTACTGAGGGCCCATTTCATGACCCCGTATAGTGATGGCTGCATAGCAACCCTCCCCCAAAAAACCCTAGCCGAAGACCCTAGCCGCTGGACCATGGTTTGGAGTTTGCGGCTGCATCTACAACACGAAGCGAACTTGAGGGGTGGCCCACGGCCATGACAGCTGTTGCATCTGCTGTGAGACCCCCGAGTTCAGCCAGCGACGCTGAATTCGCGTTTAGGGGGCCGAGGGTTGCGGTTTAGGCGTAGTACTTCAGGGCCGAAGGCTTGAACGCAGAAACCGTATGCCTCAGTATGCCCCCACAACCCAAACCCTCAGACCCCATGTCCCGAAAGGCCTCTGCCGGGTCCTCAGGCGCCATCTGCGCAAGAGTTCGTGCCTGCTCTGAGCGTGTGAGTAAAGTTAGGGCTTGGGACTAGGTAGTGCTGCCATGGGGATCTTTTCCGGTGCGGCTCCTGCAGGCTTTCTTGCATGAAAGCTCACGTAACTCGAAGGCACCAGCTGAATCCTGGGGGCGATCTGTGCAGGAAAGTTGGCTATTTCCCCCAAACCCGGAGCCCAAGCCCTGCCCCCTGTTTCCGTAGCTGTCTCCCAACCGGCAGAAGCAACCTCCAATCCCTCAAAACCATCCGGACACTCGACAGAGTGCCACAACCCCAAGGTGGACACTCTGCGCCAGCGGGTGCACGACTCCGACGAGGCCCCCGCCTCCCCGAGTGAGGGTTTCGGTTTGGGTTTTAGGGGAGTGGCTCAGTAGCCTTTCTATTTCTGAGAAGGCCCTTGCCTCGGCTACCTTAACCTACGGAGACTTGCGTAAGCATTGCCCCCTTGTAGCCATGCAAGGAAAAGACTTCTGGAAGTCGTTGCCTTTGAAGCCGTACGCGGGTGTTTCGCACCACTCGCACACACATACACACATACACCATACACCTGAACATCCACCGAAATTGCACAGTTTGCTGCGGTTCAGTGGGGTTTCCTGGAAGTCATTTGACTGAGCAAGATACGAATTTGCTCCCGTTCCATGGGTTTCGAGGAATTCGATTGACCGAACACGGTAACATTTGAATCTGTGTTCTGCTTGCGTTTAGGTGGTGCTTGCTTGGCGGGGGAGTCGGTCACTGATCCAAAAGGGGATTCGGCCTGCTGCAAGTATGACTTCCGTTCTTTTGCGGTTCATTGGGGGAAGAGCCGCGGGCATGATTGGGCACTTCCTAGGTGTTTCCCAGCAGATGGAACGGCTTAGGATTCTGGAGCTTCAGAAACTTCAGGGTGTAAGGGGCCCCTTAGCTTGAGGGCTTCAGACTTTCAAGATGCAGGGCCATCTAAGGGTTTACCGTCCAGACGCTGGAGGCTCTGGGGGAGGCCGTGCGCAGCAACGAGGCCGTCGTGGTGCTTCTTTGCATCAAATGACTCCCAATCCCCCCAATAAGGAAGCCCTCTACACACGTTCCCGCCCTCAGACCTTGAACCCAGCTCCTCACACGCTGACGCCATGAACCCCAAAGCCCAATACCCTAAACCCTAAACCCTCTCCCCAGGCTCTTCGGCAGCAGATGGAAGTCCAGCGCCTTGATGCGCAGACGGCCAATGAGTCCGGAGCCCGGGGGGCTGCTTCGGGTTCGTCCCCCAAATTCGGAATCCTCTGATGACATCCTTATGGAAAGCCTCCCCAAAGGAGCCCTCGCCTCGAAACAACGTCTGTTTGGCGGGGCTTGGAACCTTGGTGTTGTGGGGCCGCAAAGCTTGGGGCTCTTGGCTTGGCGCATGAGGACTGGGGTGTTTGGGTGTCGGGCCTAGGAAGCCTTAAGGGATGTTTAAGTGGGGGTACCGGGGGCCTGGCCTTGAGAACCCTACACATCTAACTCTCGCAGGCAGGACCTGAAACTCTGCCGGGAGATGTTCCAGCAGCGGATGGACACGCAGGCTCGTCCGTCACCGTGATTCTCGGGGTTCTGAACTGAGGCCCCCCCCTTTTTTGGATTTTTTCGGGTAACAATAGTCCCTGATAGAAAAACAAGCATCCCCAAAGGATATCCGAAGGGGTGCTATTTCAATTCCTCTCCTCTTTTGGCCCACCCGCATTATTTTTTTTTTTTGAAGGCTGAAGGCTTTCTCACCTCCGTGAGCCAGCGGGGCTCCATCACAACTTCATCTCTCGGGTTTGGGTGTGTGATAGACCCACAGCCCTCAACCCCACCTTTATCCTCTGAGACCGGAAAGCATGCGCAGGCTGGCCACCACCAGGCGGAGCAGGCGGGGATGCAGGAAGTCTGGGTTTGCAGTTGGGTTCTATTCAAATTCCAAAGCAACCCCAAACGCAAAGCTGCTTGAGCTGCTAAATCCTAAACTCAAAGTTCAAAACCCTTAGACCCCTTACCCCGGACCCCAACATACAGGTTTTTCCTTCTGTGGGCCCCACAAAGCCCTATAGTGCTTGAAGCCACGTAGAACAAAAAAACACGTAGGTCGACCTTCGAAGCCGAATTCGCGGTCTCGAGGCAGAGCCGTGTCTGGGACGCTGGGGTTGAGGCTTTAGGGGGGTCGAGGTTCAGCTTGCTGATTTTTGGGGTCCAGGGACAATCTCAACTTCCGTAGCCCGAGACGCCCACTGAGTGCAGCTCCTATGGGAGGACGTGGTCGGGCTCAAAGCAGGCAAGATCCAGGCCGAAGACTTGAGAACCAGGGCATTGGCTGTCATGGGTTGGGATGTTCCCCCTGGTACTACCGCTAACAGTTAAGAGTCCTTGAAGATTTACGCATAGCACCCCCTATAGTGATCCCTATTAAATGTTTCAAGGCTGTTTGTATGAGGGGGAACATCCCAAGTCATGGGTCGAGGTTCGAGGTTTGGGTGAGTCAAGGGTCCAGGATCTGGAGTTTGGGGAGTGGAGAAAGTGAAGGACTCAAGCACCAGGAGGCATGCTCGCTCCCTCATCCTGAGCAGCTCACCCCTCTGATTCGACATCCAATGAGGAGACCGGATTCACGAAGCCGCACCCCTGAACCTCCCCAAGCGCAAAAAAAACAGGGTTTAGGGTTTAGGGTTTAGGGTTTAGGGTTTAGGGCAAAGCCCCGAAATCCTGAAACCCTTCAAAGCTTGGATCCTTGAACCCCAGCCCAAACTCACGGCAGCCAGCTTCCAACCTTGAACCCAGCGGGAGCTCGAATCCTGGAATCTCCCAAAAGTCTCCCGAGGAGTTCTCCGTTGCTTTGTCATTGTTTATGTAACACAGATGACCCAAAGGAATGTCTCGCAAGCTTCTTTGTTTCTGAGTTTTCTTTCCAACATAAAAACCTGAATCTACGCCGGCTCCGCCAGGTGCTTCGGGAGGCCCTGGCCGAGAAGAGCCAGGCGTGGCCCTCTGTTTTAAGCCTCCAGCGGAGGGGGTGGAGGGGGTTTGGCGACGTTTCGGGTGGCTTGGAGGGTTTTTAGAGAGCATGCTTAGAAGCTGCTGTACGGTGTACGTGTGGAGGGCCTACGTAAACCCAAAGCCCTAAAAGCCTAAGGGCCCTTTTCGAGCGAGAGCCTTCGGGTCTCGGGCCTCCGCGACTCCGCGATGCAGGTTCGCGAGTCCCTGCAGCGGGATGTGGCCATGTGGAAGGCGCGGCTCTCAGCTGAGGGTCTCACAGCTTCTTGTGTCTCTATAGGGGTGTTCAGGTGTTGACTGGGTTCAGGGTCCCTAAACCCTAAACCCTAAACCCTAAACCCTAAACCCTAAACCCTAAACCCTAAACCCTAAACCCTAAACCCTAAACCCTAAACCCTAAACCCTAAACCCTAAACCCTAAACCCTAAACCCTAAACCCCTAAACCCTAAACCCTAAACCCTAAACCCTAAACCCCTAAACCCTAAACCCTAAACCCTAAAGGTTTACGGTTGAGGGTTTCGGGTCGCGCCCGAGAGCCGATTCCAGCGGCAATCTGCACGGGGTTCCCCTGTGCGAGGGTGCCAGACGTTACTTTTGCACTCCACCTCTGAAGGCTTCCGAGCCTAGTATATCCAGCGTTCCAGGGTTTAGGGTTTTAGGGTTTTAGGGTTTAGGGTTTAGGGCCCTCAAAGACACTGAAGAGCATGCCCCAAAGCAGGCTCAGCATGAGCTGGCGGCCAAGATGCGAGCCACGCGCTCAGGCTGTGCCTTCGGGAAAGGTGGGCCCAGATGATTGCACATAGGGATGTTTTCCCATATACTAGCAGTCCTTAATAGGGATGCTAGTAACTCTAGTACCCCCCCCCCTATTCTATTTCCTGTTAGGGACTGTTGCTACAAGGGGGAACATCATGGTATAATGATATGGCTTTAGAATGGGTCTACGATGTAGTAAGAGCATCATACAAATATAAGATTATCCAGTTATAGAAATACCATGATATCGATAGTTGAAATAGTCATACAATCATCCAGTTGCATATATGTTTATATAAAGTGTTCTATATACACATAAGGCTTGACGCGGGAAGCTTCCCGTTGCTTAGGCCTTTACCCACGAAGCCGAACAGTCTTCCGAAACTCCTCCGATGTATCACCACCGAGGCGGACGTCGAGAAGGATTACGAATCCTTCAAGGAGGACGGCTGGCTTCGTTTAGGATTGCAGGGTTTTCGCCAGCTTTCAGTGAAGGAGCATTGCAGGGGGCTCGGGATACGGCTGCCCCGGATCCGACACTAAATCTCTAGACCCCTAGCCCCCCGAACCCTAACTAACCCTGAAACTGCAGGAGTTCTTGGGCCGAAAGCTTCGCGAGAAGCAAGAGGAGCAGCTTGATTGCTTTCGGAATCTGAGTTGTTCTATAGGGCTTCGGGCTTAGGATGTATATTGGGGTTTGATTTGCTTTGGAAAAATTTCGGGTCTAGATTTGTGCGGGTCTTAGGGGTTTGGAGGTAGGTTCAGTCTGGGTTTAGAGGTAGGTTCAAGCCTTCCGGGGCTGAGGGGCCCCACAACGAGTAGGGGTTTGTTCAGCCCAGGCACCAGATGCTGCTCGCAAAGCAGGCCTTCCAGAGGGGCTTAGGGGGTAGCGTAGAGGACGCGGGCCCACCACCCCAAGCCCCAAACCCTACTCCACCCTACGCCAACAGCCTCGACTTGATTGCCCGGAGCGCACATTCCACACATTCTGCTGTTGCAGTTTCACGTGGGCGCAGTGGTTTTAAGAGCACCTGCGGCTCAATTTCGGGAGCCAGCGCGCCGCCGCAAATTTGGCCCAAAAGTTCCCGGCTGTTCCTGTTGGCCACAGACTGCTTTCGTCGGTGAAACCGTTGCTGTGCATTCCGAACCCCAAGCTGCCACTCATTGCATTTTGGAGGGGAAGACTGGAACTACGTTCTTCTCGAACCAGGGTGGGCCGTGCTGGATCTCGTCAAAGTTCGGGGGGGTTCATTGCCTAAGCTTGCTTGAGATCTTTTTCCTAAGGCCCATCCATGGCCAACAACTCCGCGAGCAACTCCACCGCAGTGGTCCCAAGCGAGCACGAAACCGAGAAGCGCCCATCCGCCTGGATGTCGGGCTGCAGGACCTGTGCTTGCAAACCCCAACGAACTTCTGCGGGCTTGGGGTTGAAGGGACTGCGGGTTTAGGCTTGATGTTGCTTTGGGTCTTGGAGGTAACCCTGCACTGCCACAGTTTGGATGCTCGTTGAGGCTTGGGATTCGTTCGTCCGCACGAGCTTCCCCGAAATCCTGCGATCCTAAGCTGCTTTGCCAGGACACCCAGTGAGCCAGGGAGCCCCTTCTGCCACAACCACGACCAGGCGCAGGTGGCACAGGTGCAGGGCTTCGACCAAGGGCAGTGGTCGTGGAAACCAGATGCTCCGGAGCCTGGGCGGACACTATTTTCTGGGAATGTTGAGGGTCTGGATCCTCTCTTCTAGTTCACCATGGCTTCGTTGCGCTTTGTAGGTTCGGGCTTGGGAGGATCGAAGCCCCCAAATTCCCAAAAGCCTGCCTCGCTGCCACCTGCTGTCGACTCAGGAGTTCGTGCCCCACACGAACAACATGGGCACCATGGCGAACAACATGGACATGCCAGGTCCTGTCATCATGATGATGGAGGCCCCGCCCTGTTTCGCCATGGTGGGCGGCTGGGTCATGGCGCCCAACGCCGACCAGAATGGGGGTTGCAACGAGACGAACGGCAACAAGACATACACCGAAGAGCAAGAGTCGGGAGATAGCAGAGTGATGGAGCTGCAAGCTCAGATCGAGAGCATCCGCTTCACCCACGAGAAGGAGAAGCAATCCATGAAGAGGCAGCTTTTGGGGCTTCCTAAGTTTACGCCTTGTTGGGGGGGCGCTTAGGTTCTTCGTGCGTAAGGCCATGAAGCTTGAATGCGGACCGCATCGGTTACAGGGATAACTTTGGGAGTCTCCCCCCCCCCCCTCTCTCTCCCTCTCTATCTCTCTCTCCCGAAGTCCGTCCTGGGGGCTTCAGAGGCAGATCCAAGCCTACCAGAAGATTATGGACCGCTACGACATCCCCCGGGAAGAGGCCGATGCCATCATCCACCACCTCGATGCCTCGGAGGGCTTCTAATTGAAGATTTGAGTCGTTTTTGTTTCAGGGTTCCGGATTTGGGTAGGGTAGGGATGCTTTCGGGTATAGGGCGAAGTTTAAGGGAGGGGGGGGGGGGGGCGGGGCGGGGTAGTGCTTCATGCTTCACGAACCACGCTTTTGGGTATAGATCCTTGAAGCGTTAATTGTAAGGATGTAGAGTTGCCCCTTGTTCCCACCCAGGCTCCAACGTGTCAAACATGGCGAACACGTGGTGGTCAGGCATGGCCACGGATGTGAGCAGCACGACCATGCCCCTTGTTGAGAGCTTGGGGGGGGGTTCGGAAGCCCAAAGCCCACACGACACTTTGAGAGGCCGCGGGGTTGTTCTGAACCCTGAACCCTGAACCCTGAAACGTTTAAACCCCGCGGCTCTAAACCCGAAAGTCTCGGCGCACCTCAGGGCCCAAGCCCCTTCTGCAAACTCCCCAACGAACCCGAGCCCCAAGCCCGGCCTCCCTGAGCCCTAGAATTCCCGGAGTCCGAAGGAACCCTAAACCTTAAACCCTGAACCCTGAAGCCTGAACCCTAAACCCCAACTGAGGCCCATGGATGGCATGATGGGAGGCGAGCAGTGGGACATGACGACCGACCAGTCAGTGGACCCTCCGGCTTTTGGGGGCTTTTCGGGTTTAGGGCTTTGGGTTTTGGTTGCTTCAGTCCGCCCCCCCCCCCGCCATTTCCCCCCCAGAAGCTGTTGCAGAGTCATGTGCGAGCGAGTCCCCGAAGCCTCCAAGCGCCAACTTCTGGGCTCAAAAAGCTCCCTGCCATCCGACCATCCTTGCCTCTCCAGCCCCTTTTGTAGACGTCCCAGCCATGGCCTTGCCAATGAAGAAGATTGTGATGAAGACCATGAAGTCGAACCCCATGAAGGCCAAGGCCGTGGCGATGAAGGGAATGAAGGCACGCCCTGAATCCGGATTCTTGCTGGGGCTGAGAGGTGCCGCCATGTGCCCTGCAGATGTGTCCCTTGGGCCCGCCTCAGGCAATGAAGAAGAAAGCTGTCAGCAAGATTGCCCGCGGCAAGCTGGCGAAGATGGTCGTCTTCAAGGGCCGCAAGGAACTTGGGGTTTTGGGGGGCAGCTGCCATGAGTCGGGTGCGGCTGTGCTTTACCAACATGCTGCAATCATGAGCAACTACCATCATAACCTTCGTGTGGTGTCAGTTTTTGGGAGTGCTTCGCAAAGTTCACGTGAACCATCATTCTTCTTAGTCTTAGTAGTTCAGTTCCAGTCCTGCACTGGCTCCCGCCGGAGGAGAAGACCTCGACGGGCCTCCAAAAGGCGCAGCTCATGAAGAACAAGCGTGGCAAGGCAAGGCAATCACCCACACTTTTGGGTTTTAGGCTTTAGGGATTTGGGGTTCAGGGCTCAATGTTTGCAGTAAATCACTAGGGCTTCGCTGCAGTGGTCAGTTTCTGTCGGCGGCAAGCTGACGGTGGCAGAAAGAATGAAACGTTGTAGCACATGGTGTGTGTGTGTGTGTGGATCGCAAGCAGACATTCTTGCCTGTCGTTGCAAGGTTGTTAGCAAGAAGCAGCACGCAAAGGGCCAGGCGCTTTTCAAGAAGTTCGCACAGGGCTGGGTCGATGCAGTCATGACCGCGAGGAAGGAGCTCGGGATTAAGGGCTTCTGCGCCGTTGGCGGAAAGAGTGCTCAGGGCAAGGCGCTCTATGCCAAGGCCAAAGCGCTGTACGCTGCTTGAGCAAGGGGATGTGCCTGCTTTCGTGGTAGTTCACGGAGCCGGCAGTCTCAGTGTGTACAGCTTGCAGACATTTAGTGAGCTTTTCTTGGAGCTCCAGTTGCAAAATTGTCGAGGGCATGCTGACTGGTGTAGCAGCAGTTGAGTTGATGCCAACATTTTTTTGGGAAGGCAGGCTTCCCATTTACTAAGTGAACCCCTGAACCCCCCCCCCCGCCCCCCACCACCCAACACCATCAGCCCTGAAGCCCCGGCAGCAATGGTCCCAAGTGTGGTCCCATCTTGGGCTTCTTGTGTCCATGAGCCCTAAGCCCCCAACCCCCAAGCCCTATAAAGCCCCAAATCACCATGACCCGAAACGAGAAGAGCCATGAACCCTGAACGTGAAAGCCTGAAGACCTGCCCCTCAACCTCTCTAAACGTCCTGGTGCCCCAAGGCTCCGAACCTATCATCCTCCAGCACCCTAACAACCCTCCAACCCTCCAAACCTCGGGTTCCGGGTTTGGGGTTTAGGGTTCAGGGTTCGGGGTTTAGGGTAAAACCCCTCAGACTTCAACCCAGGAGGTCTCGAACCAGCCGAGCCCGGGAAGCGCCAGTGCCAACGGAAACACCTCGAGCACAAAAACTATTGCCTCGGAGCTTCAGGCTGGGGGCGGGGGGGGGGGGGGAGGGGATTTTAGAGGTTTGGGAGGATCCATGAGGATACCATTTGTGTACCCCAAAATCCTGTAGGAAACTCCCATTCAGGAATGTTGTTTTCAGATGAGGGCACTTGCATTCTGGGCACCTACCTGGGCTTGGAGCGAATGCCGCCCCAGATCCCACACCGTCAACGCCATGCCCCCAAGCCCCCCAATCCCCCAAACCCAAAACCTTTAACCCCCCAAAACCCTCTAAACCCTAAACCCTCTACAACCCTAAACCCTCCACTCTAAACCCTAAACCCTTAAATCTGAAGCCCTCAAGAGAGCCCCCGAAACGGCCCAGACTCAGGCGCTGCTCCCTCATGCCAAGGCAGGGAGTACGGTGTGCTCAAATCACTTGCGCCTCTTTTGGCTCAGGGTTTAGGGTTATGGGGGTTTAGGGTTTAGGGCTTAGGGTTTAGGGTTTAGGGTTTAGGGTTATGGGGGTTTAGGGTTTAGGGTTAAAGGGGTTTAGAGTCTAGGGGTGTTGTGGTTTCAGTGGGCCGTCAGAACTGACAAAGCCCCTGCCCTGAACCCCCCAAACCGACGCACCGCACCCCGAGGTTGTAGGAGTTTTTGAGTTTCGACGACAACCCTGCCATGCCCCCCCCCCCCCCCCCCCCCCCCCCCCCCCCCCCCCCCTTCCCCGGCAAAAAGCAAAAACCTCTCGCTGGCCTGCCCAAAGGTCCGCTGCAGCAACGCAGAGTCAGAGACCCCCGAGTCGAGGACCCCGATGCCTACACCGACCAGCTCATTGAACGAGGAGGTTGAGAAGCAAATGTACAACTTGGAACAGATGGTGAACAGCAAGCTGGATGACCGCGCCCTTATGTCTCTGAAGAGGCTGACAATTAGTGATGGCAAGGAGGCACTGCGCAAAGTCCAGGAGGTGATCGAGTTCCAAGGGGGCAAGTGCCACAACTTGTCCTCTATGCTCCAATCCGTGTGCCGCAAGATGGAGAAGCGCGCGACAACGACGAAGTGAGCAACCACGTGCATTCAGATTTTGATAGGACCATTCGAGTGACTTCGGCTTCAGACGCATTTGTGGCCATTTGGATGGTTGCCAACGCGCACCGGAAATGTTTTGAGCGTTGAACACTTGCTTAGCTGAGCTGAATCTTTGCATCGGTGATTTTAGGCGACACAAGGGTCTCGCGGTCCTTGCTGCGACGTAGAATATTTCAAAAAGGCCCTTGCCGCTCCTGGGTCGCCCCCCCCCCCGTCCGCTTCCCAAAACTCCCTGCCTTGAAACCCCAAAGTGCTGAACCCTCATCCCCCGGAACCCTCAGCCTTCACCTTCGGGTTGTAGATACCCTGGACATCGTACAGAAGACGTCGCTCCAAGATGTAGTCCCTCATACCATGTTACACGCGCGTCCTTCAGAGTTGAAGGCGGCCCCCCCCCCCCCCCGCCTGAACTCTGAACCCCTAAAAGCCCCCTAAACCCCCTTAAGCCCCCAAAACCCTAAAACCCTAAAGCCCCTAAAGCCCTAAAACCCCCTAAAACCCCTAAAGCCCCAAAACCCCCCAACCCTGCGCACCTGCTGCGCAGGCCGACTTGGAGTCCCGAAGAGCGGAGTTGGCCGAGGAGGCGCGGCTTAGGAGGGGCGGGGGTCAAGGAGGACGCAGCGTTCATTTAGGGTTTAGGGCCTTTAGGGTTCAGGGTTTGGTTGTTTAGGGTTTAGGATTTAGGGTTTGGTTGTTTAGGGGTTCAGGGAGACGAAACCAGCCCACGCCTCGGAGCGTCATGCCTTGAAGGCGCAGAAGCTGGACCGCGAGTGCCAGGAGGGGCCGGGGAGGGGCATGCCTTTGGAGTTTGGGGCTTCGGCTTTTTTGTTGGGGGGCCTCCGTGCGCAAGACGTGCGCGCATAGGGGTTTAACGGGGTTTGGGGGGGTTGTAGTTGGCCTAAACCTCGGGTTCTGCACCCAGTTCCCTACCACAACACCCCAAAAACGCCCGACACTGGGAGCCCGCAAGCACCTGAGCCGGAGGAGCGGGAGCAGGCCGAAGCGCTGCGCGCGCAGAGCGTGGCGGAGCTGCGGAGGGAGGTGTCCCGAGCCGAAGTTGAGCTTCTTTTCGGTGGCGGGATTAGGGATTTTTAGGGTTTAAGGTTTAGGGTTTAGGGTTTGCACCTTCTTTTTTTTTGTTGCGCGTTTGGGTTCGCAGTGAAGGGTGCAGGGGCAAGCCTCGATCTAGTTGGGACAGCAGGTGAGGGGGTTTGTACCATGAAGCCGAAGGTGGCACAGGCCCTTTGCCCGCGCACCAAAACTAGGAGGCACCTGGACCCCCAAAGCTAACAAAGCCCAACAGGATGGTGGGATCCAGATGGAAACTCCAATTCAGGGGCTGAGGGTTTGGGGGGGGGGTGCAGACCCTTCGCCTTAAGTCCTCAAATTTCACCCATGCTTCCAAGACCTTGAAAAACCCTTATAAACTCACAGGCCTGAAGCCTGTAAACTATGAACCCTTTTGCGAAGAACCCTAAGATTCAGCTTTCAGGGTGGGTGGTGGGGGGGCTGGGCAGGTGGTGGCCGAAGCCGAGCGGACAAAGTCCAACCTCCTGGAGGCCTTCCTTAGGGGGGCCTAAACTCCTAAACTTCCTAAACCCCCGTACTCTCGTTCTCAGGAGGGAACTCGGGAGGTAAAGAACGACAGTGTCCCTTTGCAGTCCTTTGAAGCGTTACATGGGGGGGGGGGCGAGATGCCAAATTCTCGAGTTCCCGATTAGGAGTTGGCAAGCCGAAACTGGCCTCCATCCTCGCACTCAAGTGGCCCCCAAGAGTCGAACAAATTCTGAACCCTTACATGGGAGTTTACGAGACTATAGGGGACCCCAAGACGCCCAAAGAGCCCTTATAACAAAGGACCCCAGCTAAGGTACCCCTGTTACCGTAAACCTCCCTCATATTCTCTAACCCGGGCCAGGTGAAATTCTGCATGAGTTCCAGGAATGCCAGCACAGTATGTAGCTGCAGGTGGAGAATGCCCTTGCGTCTGCAAAAGCGGAGGTGGGGCTGCGGGCCGTTGCATCACCACAGAAGTCGCTTTTCGTGTTTTCTTCTAACTACTGGCAGTGGAGGGCTAGTACTGGAAGAAGAGAAGTACTGTATCTGGGACGATTCATGGTGAGCCCCTCAGCGAACGCTTGCAAGGCGCATGACCTATTCCAAGACATCATGCGGGTTGCATTCAGAATTTCGCAGCCAAGAACAACGATGCTGCAAGCGCAGAGCAGAGTGCCCCGAGGCTGCACGCAATGCTTAGAATCACAAGCTTACTATAAAGCCCTAAGCTCCGAACCCGACCTAGACCCACGACTTCTTCAGTCCTCCACAGCAAGCTGCGGCTTTGCTTGTCCGGCCCATGCCGACGTGCAGCTACGCTGATCGATGGCGCGCCGTGAAGGCTAGCGGCCACCACCGCGCCAGGTGCACCCGGAGTTCCACACTTTGCATCTTCAAAGCTTGTTGGCACACATCTACTCTTGCAAGAAGGTGGCTTGCCTGTACTCATGCCCCCTACCTTCCCGTCATCGCGGTCATCGCTGACATGGAGGCCTGTGGCCGCTCGGCCAGCCATGGAATCAGACCGCCCAAGCGCAAAATGCGGAACAACCCTGGCCTACCCGTTCTTAAAGGGAAACCAAGAGAACTAGATATGGGGTTACTCGTACCTAATTCCCTAGCATGCTGCTGAGAACCAGCAAGTCTGCAAGCTAAGCACAAATCGCCGTTGCGTCCTCAACTTCATTTTGAGGTTTTCCGGGCAAGATCTGATACACGCAGGGGATTGCATGTAGGGCAGCTGCAAGTCTGCCAGCAACATGTGGGCACGCCTAGATATGCGCCCGCGTTCCGCGTAATCGACCCCCCCCCCCCCCCATGGCATCCCCCCCAAACCTTGCCTGTTAACCCTTAAAACACCCACCCCACCCTAAGCCCTTAAACTCAAACCCACCAATGAACGACAGGAATGAGAAGGGCTTTGCCACCGTAAACCCAGCACGAACCACAGGGGGGAAAGGGGAAACTTTAACCCTGCCCCTACCCCAACTCTGAACCTAATCAAACTCTACACAGTGAACCAATCAACCAGTGAAAATCCTGAACCCTACAGCCTAACCCTAAACCCCTAAACCACAGACCATGAACCACAGACCATGAACCAAAGGGGGGGGGGGACCCAAAACCCACAAGGGGGCGGGATACCATGGGGGGGGGTGAGGGGGGGGGGAGGGCGGGGGAGGGGGGGCGGGGGGAGGGCCTATGCTGGCCCAGGTATAAGTAACTACCTTAAACCCTAAGCTCCTAAACCCCAAGCCCTTGCTGAAAAGCCCAGGTCTTGCAGATGCCAATTTTCCAAGGAGGCACCTCGTGAAAGCCAGGTTTGAGCTGTCGTTTCAAATTTCGACTGACTCTTCTGCTAGACAATCTGTACTGCAAGCCCCCAAAACCTCCAAAAACTCTAAACCCATCCAGCCCTGGATAAACCCTATAGGCTGCTTCTGTTGCAACACGTCATCTCCGAGCTGCGAATTTGGATGAGGAGGGTCTCACATGCGCATCCCATCGCATCGATTCTCTCATGCTCGCAATTTCGGGCCTCAACCCTACGCCAGGCGCCTCCGCCAACGAGGGAGCCACGGCTTCTCGCCCTCAGGGCCTCAGGGTTTCTTGTTGAGGGGTTTTGGGAGGTTGTGGTTTAGGGCTTACAAGGTGAGGGCGATTGGGAGGTAATGTAGGGTGCACAGCTGACGTTTCGAGCTTTTGACCCAAAAATTTGACATTCCCGAAGTGCAAAATCTTGTCCAAAGCCAGTCCAAAGCGCCCGCTTACCCTGAATCCTCGAGTCGGCCGTGGGTTCGCACCGGACGGAAGCTGAACGCAGAGTGGGCGTTTGGCTGAATAAGAATTCGGCTTCATGGCTCCAGATGCTCCCTCTCTAGGCTCATTAGGATTCCCTATGATGCCCTATGCTTCAAATGCACAGGGCTTCTGAGTAACCCTAAGCCCTAAGCGGCCCTCGGCCCTGATCCCCAAAGTCTTCGAAGGTCAGCCGCGAGAGCGCCGTGGTTGGCCCTCAGACGCCACTCTGACCTGGTCATCCCTACCTTTGTGAGACCTTGGAACCCTAAACCCTAAACCCTAAACCCTAAATCCCGAAACCCTAAACCCTAAACCCTAAACCCTAAACCCTAAACCAACTAAACCTCAAGTACCCTGAACCCTCAGTCCGAGGCCCTCAGAACTCCAAAACCTAAATCCCTTAACTTTGCAAAGTCGAAGCCGCTCTGCATGCATGATCCCAACTCCACCTATCTTCAGTGTTGGACGTATTGCGGAAGCCGCGAAGATCAGGGGGCGGCCATAAGCCGTGGACGTGAGTCTCCTTCCTCCCCATGTCATATCAGGGTGTCGGGCTTGGGGTTGAGGGATTGCAGATAGAATTGAGAAGTGCGCAAACCCTAAGAAACACTCAGCCCCCCATCTCCCAGAGTACAATGTTTCACGCTCTCCGAGCCTTTCAGGCACCGCCTGCCCAAGACGGTCATGTGGAGCTCCCTGGCCGGGGAAGAAGCCCACAGTCCTGTGTAGAAGAGGGATTTGTGGTGGCAATACCGTTGGTTCGACGACTGGGACTTGATTTACATTTTTTTCATTTCTGCCCCTTCTATTCTTTGATAGAAGTTTCGCTTTTGATAGAAGTTTCAATTTGGTAGAAGTTTCATGTTTCTGATCACTCACCCAAATCTACCCCGTACTTCAAATCGCGCCCGATGCTCAACACTCCCTAGACATCCTTGAGTCTTTACCTCAGGTTTGAGGGTTGATTCCTGAAGCCTCCCGAGAAAGTCCGAACTCGCAAGCTTCGGTTTCAGGGCATCAGGGACCAGCCAACCCCAAACCCCAGACCCTAAACCCCAAACCCTAAACCCCAAACCCTACACCCCAAACCCTAAACCCCAAACCCTAAACCCCAAACCCTAAACCCTAAACCAAAACCCCAAAACCCAAACCCCAAAACCGAAGGCATCACCATGCTCACCGCGCTGGGCGTGGGCCTGGCCAACTTCGGCCGCGCCGGCGGGTTCAGTTTGCACCGCTCGCCCTGGTACCCTTTACTTAGCCCTTTTTGGTTGGTTCATGGTTCTGGAGTCAGCAACCCAAAAAACGGGTACCCTTATTATAATAAGGTTGCGGGGCTACCGAGAAGGCCTAAAGCCTGATTCCTCACACGCCTTAAGCGAACCCTGTAAGCTCCTTTGGCCGCCTCGGCCCTCTGTGCCCTACGAACCATGCAAGTTACGGACGGCCCACAAAACTCCAAGAGTTCTTGAGCGCGGGCATCCTGGGCTAAACCCCAAGCTTTCAAACGCCCTGAACCACTGCAATCCTCGGTTTTTCTTGGTTTAGTGCCAGTTTCCCTAAACCCGAAGTAAGCCCTTAACCGTCAAGCCTAAACCCTAGACCCTCAACCCTTGGGCTCGTGCTTTTTTTGCCCATGTTTCGGCGTTAGGGACCCTGGCTGGCACCCGTTTTGCTCAGGCTCCCGTTTAACCACCACCCCACGAAACCCAACAAAGGGTTTAGGGTTTAGTTGAGGGTTTAGGGTGCCGAGAAGGACCTTGGAATCAACCCTTGTTCACGTTCAGTTAACTGCAGCGAATTTCGACAATCATGTTTTCTCTTGCCGGATTTTGGTTTAGGTCATATTCTTCACAGGGTGGCAAGGGCCGGTAAGGGCAAGCCTTGGACAATGAGCCAGGGATGATCCTGGCCATCCAGTGCCTGGTCCAGCTGAAGTTCACGTCCATGCAGAGGGCCATCCAGCGCTCAGGCGCGTGGGTTGTTGAGGGTTTAGGGTTTGGGGTTTGGGGGTGTTCGGGCTTGTTGGGCTTATTGCGGTATAGGATCTGTTGGGTTTTAGTTCAAGGTCTTAAGCGCTCAACCCCAAAATCCGGAGGCACGTGGCTGGGCGTGGCCACCCTCGCCGGCATGTCCACACTCTACGCCCTGCTGGGCGTCTGCTTGATCCAGCTGCTTGCTCAGAGTTGTCTAATGTGAGGGTTTACGAAAAAATATGGGTACCTTTTCACTGTAAAGGGAGTCTATCCGATTTGGGGTAGAAAGGGGGGACCCCTACATTGGGAAGTAACCACGTCTGGCCTGCACGTGTTGCATTCTCTTGGTGAAGCATCCTCCGAACAGACTCGAAATAGACACGAGGTTTTTCGCGCCAAGTTGTGGTGGCTCTGGCATCCCCGAGAACAAAGCTTTCCTCAATGGGGCGGTCATGCCAGGTCTTTACAGCGCCTTGCCAGAAGCGTACCTGCCTGTGTTGGTAGACATGTGCACCGAAGAAGCAGGACCTATGAGCTCGAAGACTCACAAAAGCAAGAGCCTGAGCTGCTTGTAGCTGCATGGGCTTAGGGCCTTATCCCAGGCAAGCGAACTCTGGGAATTCGAATCTGCACAAACGTCTTGGCAAACGCCGCTGGCTTCCCCGTCGGGCGTGAGGGCCCTATGGTGAGCATCGGCAGCAACCTCTCATTTCTTCTGTGCGGCTCAGCTCAACGTGGGTAATCCATCCTAATGCCCTTGAACCCACATGCCCGAGGCACCAACCCCTACCGAGAAGACCTAGACCCAGACGACCCTTTTGAACAAAGCACGCCCTGGAGGTCGACGCTTTGTCCAGCCCTACGTCCGAGAATGGGTGGATGTCTCCGGGCCGGGCAGTGCCCAGGCATTCGCTCCCAAGGGATGTCAAGGGATGTGTGGAGGGGCTTCGGGGCTTCAAGGAGGTCAGCAGGCGTTGCAAATCCTGGAATCAGCACTGCACACGCCCCTGCTTTCAAGGTCTTGACAAGGAAAACCGCGGTTTGCAAACATGGGGTGCAATTCAGATACACCCGTTTGTGGGTTTCATCACTGCGCAGCATATCGTGGCCGTAGCAAACTTGTCACCAGGGAGGCGCTCTCTTGAAGCCCGGGATGAAATGGCGAGC